ACAGGGTATGATCGAGTATGGGTCAAGTACATGTAATTGGTATTCGAGTTGTGCTCGAGTTTGAGGTCGAGTATGAGTACTCCAACACCGCAAACAATATGAGACAAATGCAGTGGGCAGTGCTACCAACATGTAGTGCAGGTTCAGCATAATATCAACAATCACACTGTACATGAACATGTACAGTACATGTAGGTACATAAATGTATGTACATGTACCGGTACCTGTCAGATGGCAACCATTACACCAGTACCATTCAATAAGGAATCCATGTTACTTTAAATGAAAAATGAGCCTTGTTTTTTTTCCCCAGAGTTTTTTTCTGGAGAAGGATGGAATGTCCACAACAGGTACCGTACATGTGAAACAAGTGCTCGTACATGTACATGATGTGTGTGTGACATGAGATGCGGCTGATGTACCAGTACACGTATGTAATGTACATTTACCAGTATAGCGGTACATACCGGTACCGTATACATGTACAATACACATGTACTCGTACATTATGTACATGTATACATATGAACATGCATGATACACATGTACTTGATCTTACTGTGTGAACAAGATACTGGAACAAACACAGTATTCATACGTCAGACCCATCTGCCACTCATCAGTTCCCAACAACCTACAACCAATATCTCTTCAACTAATATATCCAACTTAGCCTCTTTTTTCTCTTTTCCTTTCTCCATCAATAATGAAATTTGACCTCGACCTACCTGTACATAATTCCGGGCAGCGAGATAAATTACCAGTACCTCAGCACATGGCCCAGACTTTGCTTGAGGGGCATGGGATGCTTGCATCCTCTAAAATAGAGGTGGGGGGGTACAAAAAAACGAGCAAGCTCCTAGGCTCAATTATGAAATTCCTCCGTCAGCATTCAAAGAGCTGTCGCATCCAACGTTCGTGCCAGAGGGGAATCTGGGTGACCTTTTGGATATTTCTGGCCACTTCATTTATGATTTGTTAAATTTCAGCAGCTCTTTTTCAATTCTACATGTACCTAAATTGGGTAGTAACCCAGTTTTTATACGCGGTCATCCTCATTCAGATTTCTTTACCGTGAAAGGACAAGTCTTGTAAAAAAATTTTTAATGAGGTGAAGATTTCTTTTTATAACCGTTGAAGGTACCATTACATGTACATGTACAGTACGAGTATGTAATCTGGCTGTTGCAATAACAGTCCACTGTTGCAGAGAAGAGTACCGCTAGGGCTAAAAAAAACCGCTGGATCTTACATATTATAGTCTAGTGACCAATGGATGCAAAGCAAGTGCATTGTTTAACCACCAGTGCCCCAACGGGTTTCCACATTAATATTTCTGTTCAATTCACCGTACAGTTACCGGCTGTACATGTACAAGTACATTGTAAGGTGGTGAAATACGAGTGCACCTATGGTACTGTACATTGTAAGGTGGTGAAATGATGTTGTAATGTTCATCTTCAGTGCAATGTCAGTCTTCCTCTTAGCACTTATGAAATACGTACCAATGTAAGTACATGTGCAACAATGAACGTTCTTCTACACTGGTACATGTACACAAGTCTACACTATAGGCTACGGGTAGTGGTATTGTACATGTACTGGTACAATGCATACAGTACATGCACCACTACAGAGTGAAATTTCCTTCTTTTCTTTTTGGCTCAATCACCTTTTCAACTAAAAACCAAAGAATATGTTATTACATATGCGGGATTCTATTAATTAGCCCCTTCTTTCAGTCCTGTTTGGTGCACACTTCTTGGCAGGTCCACAAGGTTTGCGAGCAAAGCTTTCTGGAGACCTGAGCCTTGGTCCTCACACAACTGTTTATAAAAGCATCTTGCATGTCCTCATACAGAGTTAGGTGGACACAAGTACAGTATGTGGACCATGTTTGTATGCACATGTACTAGTATCATGCCAATTGCTCTCTCTAGGGTGTACAATGTACATGTACATGTACCAGTACGTATGTATGTGAACACCACCGGCCCGCACGATGTTTGGTGGCAACTGCAGTGTTCAAATTATTCAAGGCCAGTCACGGCACGGGGAATGGGAATGTTAATTTTTGGCTAAGGTTTAATGAGGAATTTCCTGTTTTTTTGCCTGATGCCCTCAAATGTTGATGTTCGGATTTTTTATTTCAACTTCTTTTTTAGGTTGCAGTACTTTATTTCACTCTTATGCACTGGTAGGCCCCTAACGATGTACTAAAGATGTACATGTGCGTGTGCAAGTAGCAGTGTTTTATGTACATGTACGTCACAAAGAGATTCATGTACTACAAATGAAGTAAAATACATGTAAAATGTCAGTATTTTGGGGTCCTCTGTTAAAAACATATCGGAATGATGTGCAATACAGTTTCTTTAAGGAAATAGAAATATTTTGATACATTTTACTAGAACCCCTTGAAATTGCATCTTTGGGTTTCATTTAACCTGATTTTAAATTTTTGTTTTGCAATTTTAACCCACAGTTTGATGCGTTTTTGGTTTTTATGCTAATGCATATTTGCATATTCATGATCAGAACTATGATGTCATCCAAGGCAATGAATCTCAATGTTGCACTGATTTGTGCACAGAAAATTTCTAGATTTTTTAACCACTGCTACGGCAAATTATATTTTCTTGGGCAATCTACTGCTGTGTAAGTATATGACAATGATCCAGCAAAAATCCTTTTCACAGAAATGTTCCCAGAAAGCAAATTTGGGGTTCACAATTTGAACATGAAAACATGCAACCTGAACCATGCCTTCCTGGATTTACATCAAACCAAAAGCGCCCTCACTTGTCCAGAAATGCTTGGTCAATTTTTAATATTTCAAAAAGTGCACCGTTCAGTTCACATAATTAAAAAAAGATGTCAAACGGCCTTCATACAAGGAACAAGAGTACAGACATACACAAAAAGTGATTCTAAGAAAAATTCATTTCCTGGTTCTTTTATTAAATTGAAGCCTGACACGAGACCAGTGGTTCTAGATGATGTGCCAGTAGCTATCATTGTTTTCTGTAAAATCTTACATGATATTTTCAGTGTATTTTTAATGTAACCAGGGATAAATGTGGTAAAAATCAACACAAATATTGCCATCCATGTGGCTGTATATATGGCCACAAAGATTACACTTTTTTGAGCCCTACCATTCCGATCAAATACAGGAAAATGCTCAGCCCGACCGCACGGTACATGGTCTGGAAAAATGAGTTCATGTACCTACCCTGACATTAATTTTTGCAGTATGTTCCCTTCCTTATCGTTTTATTTTTGGTAAAATACTTGCCAATTTTTTAGAACAAACCAAACGCATCTTCATTACATTTTGCAACTCAGAGAAATCTTTGCTGTGCGCTGAAACTCTGTGTGGTTTCCTTGTTACATGTTCCTGCTACATGGGGCATAATACCCGATTATTTCCTTGTCCGCGTAAGTTATTGCAAAGGTATTACTATTTATGAGAAACACAGTTAAGGATGTGTCAAAACTTGGGGGAAAAATGACAAATAAGTCAATTTGAAATTTCAGCTCCTTTGTCACACTTTGTTATCCAACTTCATGGAATTACCCATGTACACATGTACATGGTTAATTCCAGAAATTAGGGGTCCATTTTTTTTTCATGTCCCTGTCACATTTGACATACATGTACCCGGTACTTGTATGATTTTGTAAGTTCAGAACACATTTTCTTATTTCCAAAAATGGTGAATTAATGCAAATTACCTTCAAAACAAATACACTATAGTAATAGTTTGAAATCAATTCCGGTGATACACACATGGACGTGTATTCCATGTCAAATAACAAAGGTCAGATGTAACGGGACACAAAAAGTCACACTTTTGGACCCCTAATTTCTGCAACTACCCACATGCAGATAGTAGCACAGGGCCAGTATAAAAGGTTCTCGTCCGAAAGTCACATGAAAACGAAAACACACACTTTATTAAAGTCAAAGCCAGAGTAAAACCATTAACAGGATTTTGCTTTGGGGCCCCCTACCATTTGTCAGAAAAATACCAAATTTGGCCTGAAAGTAGCTGTTCCCTGAAAATCTTTCTACACTCTGATGTACATGTAAGTGCCTGCTGAGAAATAAATTTATTGTACATGTACATTTATGTACTACTACACTCTTCTTCCACAGTATCTAAGGACCTAAAATATGGGGAGGTGAAGGACACCGCTGCATTGAACGGTGATGCACAAATACTTTTCCCACCTGTCTGGAAAGGACAGCACAACTGAGGCAATGTTAGACTTTTGTCCCAGCCACGGCATACACACAATAGCTGTCAGCCAATGCCAACCAGACCCCCCCTCCCCCAAAAAGAAAGAAACGGCTAAAATTATCCATCAACTGTCAGGTAAAGTAACAACATGTATTTCAGCATAGACACATTGATGGATGGCTTACTAGCTGAGACACTCATTTTTACACAGAATACATGTCATTACAGAAGGGTTTTTCTTTCCTTTTCTCTTCTTTTTTTTCTTCTATAGATGTGTAATTCCCCTGAAATTGAGAAGGAGACGGACAGATTTACAGACTTCCAGACAAAATGCCAGACAGGTCAGGATTTCCTTTCAGTGTGCGAAGAATCTACTTTTAACTCTTTTATTAGTTTCTTTAATAACGAGCAGGGCTGGTGCACTGCACATGAATGGAGAATGGAATCGTACGACCCTGTACTTTTGAACCCTTGCGATGACGAGATGTGCTTTCATGTTTTTGCAATACAGTGATCGCAAGGGTTATCACGCACAACGGTCTGGTGAGGAGGATCACAAAACCTTGGGAAGAATACATGAATAATAAATGATCTTAACATTAAATAACACATACCCGTACCTGCATGCAGGAGATTTCAGTCATGGAAAAGTAGGCCCAGGTCATAACACTACCCCTGACCGCTGAGTTTATTGTTATTTCCGGTAAAATCCATAATCAAGATTCTGCTGGTTTTGGTTCGGATAGTCTTACCTCGCTTGTCGATCTCAGTTTGACAGCGGCTGCCATTTCACTCCCTTCGACAAGCTCCTGTAGCCAGCAAGCCCAATTCTCTCAGCACTTGCACAGCCCTAGCCACACAGTTTCCTGGAGAAAACATGAAGAACACAATAAACGTATGCGTTATTGAAGGGGTAAATTGTTCAAAAATTGGTTGTTCTTGCATTTATGAACGCTCCTTATGAGAGCACAGATCTTACGGGCAGTGTTGATAATGAACAACTTTTCCAAGCATTGGTCCCGTGAATCTTCTCGTCTTTTATCCCGACAGAATAACTTGTGAAAGCATCTAGAGCAAATCATGACTACATACAGTTCGTGAGCAATGCTGTGCACGTGTACGTGTGTGGGCCCGGGCACCCCACCCAACGGACGTTTGACAGTGCAACATAGGGATGATCTCATCCTAGCTTGGCGCGGGTTGCAAAAGTACCAGACACACATGGCCGATTATCTTTGGCAAAGTTCTGGTTGGACAGCTTCGGCTGGAGTACCTGCTAAACACATGAACTTTGCAGGTAACCGGAGCTTGACACTGCATGGGTTCGCAGTCTGTACATGTACAACCTCCCACATGCACACCACATACATGTACACCCATCCAATTCATTCTATCAGTATATATGCATGTGAAGTTGAAAAAGTGCAGTATAAGTACATACATGTACATTGTATGAACATGCAAATACATGTACATGACAAGTACTGTATTAAGTAGTGCCGGTATGAGTACATGTACCATTTTGTACCTTACAGGTACAAACATTTACAAAGTACATGTACAGGTATGTAAATGAACATGTACATGTATGCTGTAAATTTGCATAGTGCAGGTCACTGTGAGTCACTGCAGTGCAAGAGAAAATATTTCATTAAATCTACCATGTGTGTATCTGCAGCAGTGTATGCTGTAATGTACATGTACATGTATGTGTGCGTTATGTACGCACAGTGTACCATACATGCAGGGCAAACGTCAAATTCCTGAATGCAGATTTTAAGCTTTCTGCTGTGTTCAGAAATGTTCATGTAGCATGTACTGGTACCATGTAAGCCCAACCAAAAGTACATGTACCTGTACATGGGCTTGAAACTACACATGCACATGTGCCCACTATAGGGCGGTGATGATTTTGAATTCAAGCATTATCAAATGTTTGAATAGTTATTTTTGAAATTGAATATGGAAGGAAAAAATGTAATTGCCACACGTGTATTTATAATTATTGTACGGTTATGAATCTAAATATCAACATTGTGGGGACTGAGTACTGTAAGTTTGCCCATCTGTGGGTAAACCCAATTTCAATGCCTGTTATAGACTAATCCGATTGGACGCCATAACTGCGATGGCACCGCACTCAGACATGCACATTCTTCAGCTTGTCGCGCACAAGCATCAGCAAATCATAACATCCTATTTTGTCAAAGAGAAGTACGTGTTCATGTACCACAGGCGTGCACCACCTGTCCATGAGCGATGTGCCACTGCAGTATAAATATCTACGGTACATGTGATTCTGGTAGTCAAATGACACTATACAGTGCGAGTTCTGCAGACCACTGGCATTACGGAGAGTTTCATTTTAGTGACCTCACACCTTCAGCCATGGGCTGCCAGGAAATCCCAAGTTACCGGTAAATGTTCTCTCCTCCCCCCCCCCCGGCTCCTGCAGCATCAAAAGCCACCGCAAACTAACTGCAAATTGAATTGGATAAAACCGCAGCAAAATGAGACAGTCTAGGTGTCTCATTTTGTCTGTTCTTTGTGTATGTACAGGTAAGTATACATGTACGTCACTCAGGGTGGGTGAGGGGAGGGGGGAACTCCTGAAAAGAAACCGCCTCGCTCAGGGCACCTGCACTTTCCATAAGAAACTGGGACAATTAGGTACCAGTATATGTACATGTACTTGTACTGTATAGTACCATGCATGTTGGGTATCAGCTCACAGTGTGTTAATTTCACATATACATGTAGGCCTGCATGAGCAGTCCTGGCAGGAAGCAAAAACATCTACCAGAAACACACACGTGACATTCCGGTATGAGCATCTGTGAATGCAGGCAAAATACTGTAAACATGTGCATGTACAAAGGTCCATGATATTTGACAGAGGGATGCCAGATCATGCAATTGCACTCTGTACCAAATACGGTACCAGAACCAAAGACATTGAAAGTGCAAGTCATCTCCTATAATTAAACTTTCACATGTGCTTGTACTGGTGTATACATACATGTACGTACATGCACAGGTAGAAATACACACATGCACGTACCCCGAACATGAAGTGATTTTCGAAGGGTCCTTGACCATGTCTGTACACGGACAGGTAACACTAGTGTTGTCCATGAACCAAACTGCTCTGGGATGGTAGGTCACATGCCCCACACGTGTATGCACATGACCACTTTACAGTCCATGTACAGGATATAAACACCTGTGAAATGAGTGTAAATGCAGTTCCTTTCACAAAGTGTACAGCAGATGTGTGCTGTAAAGTGTACAATAAGCAATGCACATGTCACTCATCAACATGAGCAGACACATGTACATGTATGACTCAAAAACATTCATCAGCACAGTTGCACTGCACACGTGTGTACACATCATTTAACACAGCTGTCACAAAGAATAATGTTTATGAGGGGGAGAAAGAGGGGAGAGATTGCCACTTGGAGGAACTGTGACACCACTTTTACTTTTAGGGTACGGTAAGTCTGCTGTCGTATTTCATTACACTTTGGTTGTCTGCCTCAAAGCAAGTTTCTCTGCCAGGGTCCCTGAGGAGACTACATGTACATGTAACATCGCCCGTGATTCAGCACTCAACACATATTACACCCCCCCCCTTGCACTCTTGAAGGAGGGTGGGGTTGGGAGAGCCACACTGTACTGGACCACGTGTGTCACTGCATGCACACAGGGGCTTGGCAGAAGCCGTCGAAGAGTTTGAATCCTGGGGCAATGCTATGAGACAGGAATTGTCAAGAACAACACATTGCATACAATGCGCTTCAGGGATACAAGGGATTTCCCCCACTGCCGGGGGATTCTGTCAACAGAGCTACTGCGGGACAGTTACAGGGCTCAGATGAGTAATGCAGGAACTTGGCAAACAAAGAAACAAATGAAATGAAAACCTCACAAGCAGCTAACAGAAGAATGAGTGTACTGTACATGTGTCATATTTAGAAACAAACATACATACATTGTACGTATCAACAGAGTGAAATTAACTGTGCATCAGTATTCCCCTCATGAAAAATCGACTTCCAAAGATGTACAGTAAAAGTTACCCCCCAAATAAAAATGGATGTCCATGAATTGTCTATTTACATGATAAGAATCTAAAAGCCACTATGCCATGAGAAAAAAGCAAGCACCAAAACTAAACCAAAAGAGATACATGTACATGTATATTACATATACCTGTACCTTCCACAAGAAACTGAAACAAACGGGAAAAAACTTTCTTCACTGTCAAAATGTCCAAGATGCATGTAAAGAGCAATAGCAAAGGAAGTGGCCGTAAAGGGTACCTGTACGTGTACCTGGTACCGGATAGGTTCACTGCATGGAAGAGCAGTTATGGTGTTAGCAGCATCACTGGATTACTAACGGTAGAATACACTGTTGGCCTATTGCATCGGGTTTCCTATGGCTCTGCAACACCAGCTGGAGCCAATTTCATAGTGCTGCTTCCGTGAAAAATTTGCTTAAGCGTGAAAAAAACCTTGCTTGACAAATCAGGTTACCAGCCAAAACTTCTTGTGATGTACATGTACATGTGTATTGTTTTGAAATGGCATTTTACCTGTCTTTTGGTTAGCATGACAATCACAGGGAGTTTGAGCTGGTAACCTTTGTTTAGTAGGCAAGGTTTTTTCATGCATAAGAAAATTCTGTGCTTAAGCAGCTCTATGAAATTGGCCTAAAAGTAGGCCTGAGCTAAGAGATTAGTGGCATGTGGGAGGAGGGGAGGGATGAAATGACTTGCCCCCCGACAGATTTTTTTAAACAAATAGGCCCTAGACCTAATGATTTATAGATGAGTAGGAAAGAAAGTAGCCTAATCCGTACATTTATTTATCAAATATTAGCACCAAAACCCTAAGAAAACAAGACTTTTTCCTCCCCCAACCAACATCATGTTGAGTGAGCCCGAAGCCACATTCGCTTTTAAATTTGTCCCCCTCCCTCGACATCAAAAGCTGGATATGCAGCTGTGTCAGTAATATCAGAGTCACGTACATGTACATGTATGGGGAAAATCACATGACAGAAGGAATGGCATGTACTTATTATTTACAAAAAAGGCTTACAAAAGTTACTGTTGACCCGACACTTACTGAAAACAGGGGATTGTCAGACCACCAGAAAAAGTTTACCTAAGCAGGATACTGTTGTTAGCAGGTTAGTTTGACATTAGCAGTTGACATGGTTGAACGGTGTTGAGCATGCATGGCATGTTGAATGGAATGTGGCAAAAGAGTGAAGAAGCGAAGATTCAACTGCCTCACATGGAATTCAAACCTGATTATGATGGTGTGCATGGTGCGGGGTAAGTTGGAATGTTCTACAGATATGGACATTTTACACGTGCATCAGTAAATAAAAAAACACTTACAGGCCTAGGCCTACAAATGTACAGGATGTACCGGTAAGTACATGTACACAGGTACGGGCATGAGTAAGGGCACTGTTTGCTTGCAAACTAATTTTCTTTAATAGGAAGTTGTAATTAAAATTCACCTTTTTTCGGCATGCTGTAACAATTAGCTTCTCTATTTAATTTCCAATTTCAACATTTTTGAAATTTGAAATGCAGCCAGCATAAACTCATTAAAATAGGGCACAAATAAGAACAAAGACTTTACAAATATACAGGGAAGAGCTCCATATACGGACGGCAGTAATTATTCCAGACAGTGATCCATTCGGAAAGCAAAAACATGTCCAGAAAAGTTCAATTTAGGAGGGAAAATACCACTAACAAACAGGGGTGTCATGTCAAGCAGCAGCCAAGTCGTTCACTCAGGCCTAGAACTTTATAAGAGTAGAACTTTTCAGACCAGTCTCAATACACGGGATGTCAAGTGGCGTCCGTAAACAAAACTCTTTCTAAAATTCAGAAGTATGAATTTTAAGGTTTCCAATTAAAATCCACACTTATTTTGACGTACAAAATAATCACAGTTTGCTCTGTATTACGAGGTGCATGCACCGTACAGTGTCACTGTATTACTAGTAGACCCCTAAGCCAGTGTCAGTGCCGAATATGAAAGCAGAACTGCACTTTTCTCGGGCCATTCTTATCTACTCACAAGGAATATCATCCCGTCTTGTTGCAGCAGACTCACATCCAGGATACCTTTTAACAGTGCTTATCCTCATGATGTCACAGTACCATCGTTTCGATGTCACTTTGGAGAAATAAGCCGATAACCTTTCGACCAGTTCAGTCAGAAAATCTAAACAGACGCCATGTTGAGCTAAAGGTCGAGATAGCGTCACGCCTTGTCGCAAAATAAACATAGAGGGCGGCCTTCAACTTTGGTGGTAAGCTAGCTGAATAGGTTGAGCCGAGTGCGCCCGACACCGACATAGAATAACCTAGCCTATTGACTCCATATGGATCTACGAGATCAATGGTTGAGTCGCACAAAGGACACTGCGCTGCACACATAGCATTTTGGTCAGCAAGATTATTATTTTTTTCACAAAAACTGCACTCAAGTTGTTGGTACAATTTATACAGCATACGAATGGCCATTGCTTGATTGCAGGGCTCAACAATTTCGACGTTTGTCTGGAAGTAAAAGAAATAGCCACAGTTAAGAGCGTTAAACACTGAAAACGACAAACGAGAGTGAAAAAAAACGCTGACAAAATAATGGGGTGTGCAGATCCTTCGTTAAGAAATTTGTAAACAAATTCCAGCAAAGTGTGACTATAGCGTTGGTTGTTTTTTTACACTACACAGGTCCTTACCCATCCCAGTTGTACAATTTATATTATCCTACGAGGGAATGAGATCTCAATGTAAAAATTAATGCTAACTTTGAGTGTCTGCACAAGTTAAGTTCGACCCCCATCATGCGTGTCCCAGACATCTCAACCCCCTTCCCAAGCACAGGTGTCCGCTACTGAGCCTGGTCTGTTAAATTTCCTCCGCCATCAATCTGCTTGAAGAAGACGGGGAAGTCCACGTAACTACATCCCACCAAGTATCAGCACTTCACTCACTTCGGGAGCATCGCCGAGTTCCAACGATGCGACCGTGACCAAGGGCATTGACTCAACCAGCTCACTAAAGCAAGCAGCTCTTTCGGTCGCCTGCAGAAGCGCGTCTGGAAGAATCATTCTCTTCGCCTGTCAACTAAAGGTGATGGTATCTGTATCTGTCCATTCACCGTATTGCTGGTTGTAGCATATGTTGGGGGGGGGTCATGTACAAAGTCGTGACTAAATGTGTGGGCCTTTGAAGCCAACGTCTTGATATTAATGGTTTCTAACTTGGCTTTAAAAGTCTTGACGTCGGGGGCGATGCGTAGGTCTTGGTCGAGGTGGTTCCACTCACGAATAGACTTTGGATACAGC